TATAAAATATGTACATATATAAATATATAACAAATATAAATATCATTATTACACTGTATTACTATTATTTAAAAAAAAAAAACAAAGAAAATGCATTCACCTCTAAACCAAAATAGTACAGTAAATCAATATAATATATTTACATAAATATATTTTAATTATAATATTATAAAAATGTATAAGAAAATTTTAAAAAATATAGTTTTTAAAATAGGCAAAAGAAAAACCAAAATCTCTTTTTAATTTTATTTAAAAATATATACATGCATTATACATAATATATGTATATGAAATAAAATATTAAAAAGGACACACAAAATTATTTAATAAAATTAAAATACATAAGTCAACTACAATTATATATTTCTATTAATAATAGAAAAATTATAATATTAATAATTTATTCTAGGTTATTAAATTATTATTTATAATATTGAAATATGTATATCAATACATATTTATATCAGTATATTAAAATATGTTCATATCCATATATTTCTAATAATCATAAATTTATGTAAATGTAAACAAGAAAAGAAATAAATAAAAAATACATTTAAAAAATAAAAAAAAAAAACAAAGAGAAAAAATTCCCATTTTTAAGTTTAAGAAATCAAAATATTTTAATTTTTAATAAATATATTAATTAAATATATTTAAAATATATACATATTAAATAATAGAATAGCATATAAAAATATTATTTATAAACATTACAAATGTACAATATCATAAAAAAAAAAACACAAAAACACACACACACTTTATACACAACTTATTAAAAATTATTAAAAAAAAAAAAATATCATCCAAAATAAAATGAAATTTTTCCTAAAAATATTATTTAAAGTAGAAAAATTAAAAATATATAAAACAAAATAGTTAATATCTTGCATTAAAACCAAAATTGTAATTATCTTTTGACAAATTTTCAGTTATCTCTGATAGTACCAGTTTCTGTAAATTCTTAATTACCTGCCCTTTTATTCAACCATAATGAGAGCAAAAATAAAAAAAATAAATTAAGGAAATAAAAAATGATTTAAAAATAGAAAATTAAATAAAATTATTTATGAGAAAAAAAAATAAAAACAACCAAAAAAAAAACACATGAAATGGAATTAAAAAATTAATATTAAAAAACAAAAAAAAAATTAATAAAACTAAAAAATCTAAAAAAAAAAAGAAATAATTACATAAATTAAAAAAAAAAACTGAAAAATATTTGACAAAAATGTGTAAATGTAAACCCAAAAATGAAATATATATATATATTATACAAATGAATAAAAATTTTGATTTTTAATATTATTTTCAAAGTGATAAATGTTAAAATATTTATCTTACTTTTAAAAATTATTTTAACTTAGGCTTGTGTAAACTCTACCAGGATATTAATGGGGTGGATATTAACACACAGATGTCTTGTAAAAAATAAGTTTTTTAAATTGATAAATCCCCATAAATGCTTGCTTACCAATCGAATTATTATTGAAAAGATTTTTTCAAAAAAGTTCTAAATAGACATAAATTTTTCAGAATTCTAAATAGACGTTCATACTTCAATTGAGCTCGTAAACTTGACTTTTCATAATTTTTGATTTATTTTTTATAATTTTTGAATGGACTTGATATTTCATTAATTTTTGATTTATTTTTAACAATACCTTTAAAAACAAAAAATTAAAATTATTTTTATAAACTTTTTAAAAAAGGAAAAAGGAAGGAAAAGCAAAGTTTTTTATCGAATTGATTTGAATACCTATTTTATCATAAAAATTGTTTTTCATCTAATTCAATGATATTTTGAAAATTTTTCGGATGTCGTACAGTTCACAATTGAGATTTTGGAATTGTTCTTCTAAGGTTCTTTATCTCCATAATATATTGCGAACAATTAAATGTAATAAAAAATTAAAAAGTTCTGAAAGAATTGCTATTAATATATTTTAATTATCTTACAAATCTGATTAGAGCCGCATGAGATTGTTCATTTTTTGTATGACTATCACAATTTTATTCTTTATTTTATATTAGTTTATTTTATAGTTCCAAATAAAAAAAAAACTCATATTTATTTATAATAATTTTTTAACTTTTTATTGATTTTTTGTTTTTTTGTTTTTTATTTATTTACTTATTTACTTTTTTTTTTCTTTTTTCATATTATTTTCAATATTTTTACTTACAATTATTTATTATTATCATTTATATAACGTTATTATGTATAAGAATATAATAAATTTATTTATTTATGTAAGTTATCTAGTTACATCAATATAGACGAATGTATTTACACGATTATTTAATTAATTTTTCTTTGTTTTTTTTAATATTCATTTGACTTATTTTAAATTAAATGAAAATAATTGAAGATGATTTATTTATTTTAAATATAATTTAAATATTTAAATATTTTATCAAAATGTTTTAATTTTTTTTTTAATAGTATTGCATAGTTTTAAAATTAATTTAAAAAGGTGAAAAGAAAAATAAAATGAAAATATATTTGCAATTTGTGAAATTTGTTTTTGAGAAATAACAATGTTTATTTTATTCTATTTTTGTTTTGTTTTTTTGAATTTTTAACAAATTTTTTTATCTAGCTGTTATATTGTAAATTTAAAAATTGTTAATTTTTTTTTGTTTTGTAGGATTAAAGCTCTATAAAAGGTGTTCTTATTTTCGTGTTTGTTATTTTGTTTTAATTATTTATTTGTAGAACTAGCTTGGTGTTATTAATTATGAAAAAAAGACTTTTTACTACCATAAGAAATTTTTGTTTTTTCACACAAATTTATTTCAATTGATTCATACTTAAAACAGTTAATTATTAATTTATTAAATTTAAATTAGATAAAATTAAATCTGAATTAAATTAATTCAATTGGAACGAGTAAATTTATGTGAAATTTTAAAAATATTTACATACCAAATGGTAGAAAAAGTTTTGAAAAAGAGAAAATATATTCAAATTGAGTTTATTTTTTCGTTTTAAAAAACATTTTATTAAATTTTATTTAAGTTCTATCGTTTTTTTTTTTTTGTTTTGTGTGAATGTCTGTTTTTGTAAATATAAATATAATATTTAGTATGTAAGTGTAACAAAGCAAAAAAAAAAAAAGAAAAATTCCAAAAATATTTTCTTAAAATTATTTATTAGGTTGTTTTCTAATATTGTGTTTTGACTATAAAAATAAATGTTTAATATTTCATTCCAATATATTATATAATTTTTATTTAAATACAATTTTTATTAGATATTTATTTTCTAAACGCACATTTTTAAAGCGCGTAAAATGTTATTCCTTTTAATCCGTTCACGATTTTAGAATCGAATTACATACATTATTATTTAATTTTTTATTCGTAATTGTAAATTTTCAAGAATATTATTTGAGTTTAGTTAGTAAAAAGAAAAATTATATTTTCATTTAATGGTTTTTTTTTTCAATCCTCATATTTCATCATGAATATTATAAATAAATTTTAATCTTAAATGTGCGCAATTTTATATTTAAATTTTATTTTAATTTTTTCTTTATTTTTTAATTAATACTTACTATATTTTTTTTAGTTTTTCTTGTTTTCAAAATATGTTTACTTAGCATTTTAAGAGAAGAGCACATTGGTCAAGATTACAAATACAACACATATTAATTCTGGTCCTGAATTCAATTGTTACAAACACATAATTATAGTATAATCTTGTTTAAACATTAATTCTTGTTTTCGTTTTTTTTTTTTCAGTAACTTGGCACTTTTCTAATAATGAAAACTTAATGTTAATTTTTATATTAAATTTCAAATTATTCAAATATATTTTGACATACAAAATGTAAAAAATGTAAAAAGAAATATTTTGTATAGCACAAAAATGGTTCTTAAAATATTCATAAAATTTTGATAAGTAAGGAAGTTTTAATTTAATTTTAAATTAAAATAAAATCGTATTTGTTGAAAAACAGAGTCTAAACAAGAAATTTTTCTATTTAAATGTCGAGTTTTTTTTTTCAAAACGATTTAAATCAGAAAGATGGAATCAGGATTAAAATTTAGTTAGTTTTTATCAATTTTAAGTAGTTGAGTTGAAGAAAAATCGAAATTTTGAATTATTTGACATTTGATTAAATATGTATTTATAATACCCCAAAAATTCTTTTAAGTACCTTTTTAAATGCAGCATAAATCAAAATCATAAATTTTGAAGACATACTATGTAAAACAATAAGAAGTTGGGGGAGATTTGATACATATTTTGATATGCCTTTCAAAATTTTACGTAAATTATCTAAATTATTTAGTAACGTTTATAATGCTGTAAATTTTTAAATAAATAAAATTATGAACTTTTTACTAAACTTACATATTATACGTAGAAAATAGAAACTGTATACAACTATATATAAACTATATAGAATATATTTAAAGAACATGATTTTTCAACATAGTTCGAATGTTTAAAAATAAAATTTGCCTTTTGTTATTTCACAATTTAAAATAGATTTTAATAAATTACCAACATAAAATAAAGTGAAAATTATTCAACATTAATCGACATTAGACCTGTGCATTTGAAATACTTAAAATTAAACTCAATTATTACGTATATTAAAGCAAAACTAAAAAGCAGAGTGACAATTAAACTAGAAAATTATTTAAAAAACAAAACCGAATTTTATGCTAGAAGGCTCAAAGTTTTCATTTCTTTTTACATATTTATGTAGATAATGATATAATTATAATATATATTGAATTTCAATTTAATCTTTGAAGCATATATTTTTTCAATTTATTATTTATAATGTAATGTGTAATTTTGTATATAATTTTGTTACTAATACATAATTATTCATAATTATTTACTTTCATTAGCATTTCCAAAATATACAATTCTATTTTTGCATTAGATAATTTTTGTAATACATTATAACTTAAATCACGTATTTCTTGAGTACTCATAATCTTTCTCAATGTTATATTGTTTCAGTATTAATATAATTATTTGTATATTTATATATATGTATTTGTTTTTTTTTTTTACTTTACTTAATAATTCCTAATTTAATGGGATTTTATATTTAGTTATTAATTAAATATAGCATTGTTTTTAAGCTTATTTTTAACATATTCTATATAAATTGTGTAAGTATGTAATTATGAATTCAATGCATGTGTATAATTTTTATTTTGAATTAATGTAGATTTTAATGAATTTTATAGAAATTTGTTTTATAATATTCTGTTGCTTTATTAATTTTATTTCCTATTTTAATTCTATTTTTTTCGAGTTTTTCTTTTGTTTTTTTTTTCTTGTTTTTCAATCTTTATCACTTTTTTTATGAAAATAATTTTATGTAATATTTATATTCAAAATATTATTTTAATGGAATATTTATGATTATATTTTTATTCTTTTATTTTGTGTATGATTGTAACAATTTAAATTGTTCTTAACTTGATATGAGAACAAAAAATAAATTGTTTTGTATGTAATATTATTTTCATAATGAAATTAAATATGATGAATAATTTTAGAAATTTTGCATTTCAATCAAAAATAATATGAAATTTCTATGAAAAGAAGTTAAAAATAATGAAAGAGTTATGGTGTTATCGAATTAGGAAAAAAAAAAAACAAACGTAACAACTAATTATTTTAATACTTTAAAATTACTATCTTTTATTTTCTTTTTCTTGTAAATAAAGTCTCTGACTAAGAGGATTTGTATATATCCAGTTCTCTCCAACAGGTTTGAAATACTAAAAATAAGCAAGGCGAAAGTTAATATACTTATTAAAATATCAAGTTTATTTAATTTTCATATTACCTTTGTATTCCAATTGAGTTCACAGTCTTTCCTTGTTTTAGCTTCTTCACGTTGCTTTTGTTCAACTAAATATTTAGCACTGGTAGCCCGTTCAATATCGTTTAATCTATAAGAATGAGAATATATTTTTAGTAAACAGATATGATTTTTTTGACCTATACATATAAAAATTATATAAAAATTACATATAATTTACATATTAATAATTTGCACTTAAAATAAACCTACTTTAGGCCAGCTGTAACTTCTTTCCAAACTTTCCTAGATTCACAATCTTCTTGTTCAGCTATAGGCCTTACTAATTTTTTATGTATATTAATCTCATTTACATCTATAAAAACTTCCGGTTTCTAAAATAAAATATATTTATCAATTCAAAAATATTTTTACTTTATTATGCATAAATATTAACTTACATGTCTACTACCATCATTCCATTTTGCTTCCATTAAACCACTCCATTCACCGGCTACAGAAACAAATGGTTTTTTCTCATTTGGACTAAATATCTATTTCAAAATTTAAATCTCATTGAATTTTATTAATTTAAATTAAATATGAAAAATTACCTCTGCAGTAATCCTATTCTTTTTACCACCATAAAATGGTTTTGTTAAAAATTCTACGTCAGCATAATGACCAGTTTGTGGACATTTAATAGTTACAGATCCTCCTAATTCAATCCAAGGTACTGTTAATATTGATCTTAAATAAATTTAATAATATATTATTTTTTTAATGAAATTATAAAATTTTTATTATACCTTCCATAGCCATTTGGAAATGTTAATATATATTCTTCATTACGATCACATAATGTCACAATTCCTTGTCCTATATTATGTACACCAATTGATAAACCAAGAAATTTTGATTTGGTCCAAACATGAGCAAGAAAACTAATTTTTTTATTATAATGTTCAGCATAAAAGGCAGATACTGTAATGTTAACAAAAAATTATTTTATGAATTTCATTGGATTTTAAATTAAAAATTATATTATCATACTTGGCGGATGATGTGATACTTGTTCGGCAAGAAATGTTAACTGATCTTTTCTACACCATGGTATTGGCCCATCAGTTACAATTTCATCATCGGGATCGCCTTAAAATTATTAAAGAGATATTTAAGAGATATTATGAAAATGAATTTCAGAAAAAAAATTTACCAGGAATATCCCAGTGACATCTAAATATTTCCCCTAATATTGGATTATACGGTTTCTTAGCAACAGTACTTTTACGACCAGCATGATAAGAACTTAAATACCATCTAACAACTTGAACCATTCGATCTTTTGGATCATCTAAATCGACAATACTGCATAGGAATAAAAAAAAATTGATAAATATTTAAAATATATATGTATATTTTTTAAATTGAAAGTAACAAGTTGAAATTACCGTAAAAATAAATCAGGATGTGCAAAATAATCTGCATACATTTCTAATAATGAACGTCTTTCTAATATAAATGTTGGTAAGACCACTTTTGTTAAGTCCATACCAATTTTAACTTGTGATAATAAATGTGATACAACAGAACCATGAGATTCCATTGATAAATCTGTATCATCTTCATCTTCATATAATGCATCATAATCAAGACGACCATCGGTTAATGCTGATGATATTACTTTGGACGGAGTTGCAAATGCATCCGAATTTTCACTATCTTGCGATGAACCTTTTATATCATTCTTTTTATCTTTTTTCGATGGTACCGATTCAGTTTCATTTTTATTTGTTATATCTGTTACTGGTGGTACTGTCGGTTCTGTTGTTGTAGAAGTTGAAAATGATACTCCCCTTGTGGCACTGAAATATTTAATAAAAGAAAAACAATTTTTTTTTTTAAATCTTATTTAATGTTATTTTATAATTTCAAAAATATAAAAAAAATCCAATAAAATATAATGTTCTTAAGGATATACGTACAAACATTAAATGAAATACAGAAAAGTAGAAGGGGGGGGGCTTTAATATTTTCTACACAAAACACTTTTTTTGATTCGTTATCCTGGACTTAGTATTAAAATTAAATTTTATAAAAACATTCTACAGATCCATTTTCTGTTTTGTTTACAAATTTAAATGACGTAATTTAATTTTTTACTTTATTGTCATTACCATAATTATGATTCAGTCTTTATAACAGTATGAAGTTAGTAATATTTGTACTGTGTAATAACGTGCTATAAAGTTTAGTATAATGCTCGTTTATAAATTATGATTTTATCTTATTCAAAATTATTTTTTTATATTTAATAATAATCACATCTACATAGGGTCCTCAATATTGTAAAATGTAAAAAAAATTATTAAGGTTTATTGTCGTGAATGTTGAACGTTGAACTTGAGAAGGGCACGGTTTTCTAAATTAATATCGTATTTTGTTTTACGATAAAAATTTTTACCGAAAAATAAGTAAGCTAATTAAATAAAATTTTTATTAGTCTTATAATAAATACACATATTTTAAGCTAGAAGTTATTCCTAATGGTATAAGAAAACCCCAGATAATCGTGAATTGAAGAAGCTACAATGTGTCAATAAATTATGCAAATAAAATTCAATAATTTACGATTCGACCGGTTATCAAAATAGTCATCTAAACTAAATTTGATTCTCATACAACTCCATTTTGTAACTCAGTTGACATAAAAGTGACCAACGCCATAATGAAGCTAATTAATATATTAAAATAATTTTAGATTAAAGTAGACAATTATTTTACAAAACAACAAAGTATATAGAATTTCAATTTAAAAACACACTATGAAATAAATTTGAATAATCCAACAATTCTTTAATTTTATTTCTTATAATTTGTAAAAATTTAATGTCAAACATGAATATAATTCAAATAATTATCATTAATCTTAATCTTTTTTCCTTCTCTTAATGATTTTTCTTCTTTTTTTTTAGACTAGCTGAAATGCAAAATATTATGGCCTTCTTTTACTTTACATAACACAAAAAAAAAACAGAAAATTATTCTATAACTATAGTACAAGTTTTTATTAACTGATTTTCAAGGACAATTCTGGTTGTTGCCATAGCAAATAAATAAAATAATAAAAAAAAACAAGTAAAATAAAAAAATAAATGTTAAATAAAATTATATATCCTTCCTGTACCTCGCAACTTCCCATATTATATATTTTTTGCTTAAATGAAATTTTCTTTCATTTCTGTACAATTTTTGTAGAATTCAAAAGGACATATTGATTTTGTATGTTTCGTTTATAATATCGTAAAGAAATTTTATTTGTCTACGTATTTATTTTATAAAATAAAGTAATTGTTTACAACTTCTGTAACTTCGATATAGCAAGTCTTTAAAATGTAATTTGAACGAGAATCCCACTTCAAATATCTGAGTTTCTGGATAAATGAAAAAAGGAGTAGCGAGCAAAAAAAAAGATGTCGCATCAAAATGGCTAGACATGCATTTGGCTAATATGCAAAAATACTCTGTTGCAGAGATTTGAATTAAATCTACGTTTACGATTAATGAAGTGTTATGTATGATTTGCTCTTCTATATGGTCTTGAATCCTGAGCCTTAAAAATTAATAATATTAACAGAATAGAGGTATTCTAAATGTAAATGCTTAAAGAAGAATATAGGGAATAATAAGAATAGGTTGAACACGTATCCAATAATGAGGTACTGCGTAGAGGTGCATGTAATCGACAGCTACTGACTAACATTAAGCGCACATGAAATGCAGGGCGCGAAAAATTAACTCCTACAATTCATAGTTAAAGGAAAAATTGAAGGCAAAAGAGGAATTGGTAGAAAACAGATGTCATGGTTGCGCAACATTAGGGCTTGGACGGGTATATCAAATATCGGTGACTAGGTGTACCCGACAATAGAGATTCAGTAGAATACAACAACATAGTAACTATTATGAAAACAGAATTATGACCCCTAACATCCAGTAGTGGATAGGCGGTACAAGAAGAAGTTATTGTGACAATATGTTATTCAATACTATATCAAGCCATAAAATTAATTTTTTTAATTTTCTTTTAATATTGTCCGAAATTTTATAGCGTATAAAAAAGTAAGTAAATACTATTACGCTTACAATTCAAACTGCCACTTTTATTTTTATTTTTCGAAGTTTATTATTCACAATCCCCATTTTTTCGCTGCTAGTTCAATTTGTGTTCTCGGGGTTTAAAAATATAATTGATTTGTATTTATAGAACATAATATACCAATCCCCTATATACATATGTAGCTTTTTACTTAGCATACTTAATATACGCAATTTCTATATTTTCATTAAATCTTACGATAATGATGAGAGCTCTGAACGAAAAATAATGGAAAATATCCTACATATCCTTGTTAATACATTTGTTATTTCAATGGGTGTAAAAAAAAAAACAAAAAGTAAATAAATAAACAAGTTCTGGGGCGAAATAACGATAAACAAACAACAGAATTTTTCCGTTTTTCTTTTTTTTGTATTGCTCTGCTTTGTTTTTTCATTTCGTAATATTACGAAACTTAACTGGCTTTTTTTTCGTGAGAGAGTTTTTATAGATGGATTTATAAGAAATAATTATCTTTTATTTAACTGTGCACAACATATGTTTTAAGGACGAACTGTAAATATTTGAGTTTGGGTACACAAACATGTACATATACACATACATACGTAATATTTAAATAATTTTTAAGAAAACTTAAATTTGTAATTGCAGATGTGTTTTAAGGAATTTTTTTTTTTTTTTGTTCCGAAATAATTTCTGCACATACATAGATTGTACATAATGTAAAAATTAATTTGACCATCTCTAGAAATTTGAATATTCAGCTGGTTTATGTTCTTATTCGTTAGAACAAAAAAAAACTTTAAGTAACAATAATTTACTGAGGTTTTTCTTTTTCTTAAATATCAGGTTTACGTAAGAAAGTCATAAATTTTGAAAAAATGTCAAAAATATGAAAAATTATTATTATGTAAGTTAATTTATTCCGAACGTGTCCAATCTGAATGTGTGTTCCAAACTGCTCAACTAAATTTAATTTAAATTGGAAATTTTTGATTTTTTAAATTGGAATTTTAAAACTATTTTGGTGCCAGAACTCTTTGATATTTTTTTTTAATTTCACTTAATTCTCAGTCTACTTTTTGGACTTGCAAAAAATTTTTGAATATTTAATTGTCATTAAATCAAAATCATATTAATTAAAAAAAAACCAAAAATATTGCATATTTATGGGCGACAATAATATGTGAAAAATACTTACTACTGACCGTATACAATGAGATAAGTAATGTGATGACACCAATTTTGGATGTCGAGTTTTCGGTGGAAGCGCACTTCTTCATAGTAGGAAAGCGTCAATAAACTACTTTTAGAGAGATGTGTGTTAGGGTCTTGGGGTGGCACAAAGCGAAATTCTACAAATGCCCAAATTTACAATTTTCAAGGTATCTTCATTAAAAGGTTGCTAAATTCTTTAAAATTGGAAAGGAAGTGTCTCAAAATGCATTTTCATAATATTTTGTAATACTTTAACTAAACTAGGCAACATGCATTGCTAGAAACTAGAATTTTACTCATATAAAGACTATACATGGGTAGATACAATATATAATTTTTATTATTTATTTTATGAACCATGTTACCGAATTACTTTAAAAAATATCTTCAAAATCCTACCTTTCTAAGAAACATTTTACACTTTTAATTACTTGCACTGCCTAAAATAATTAGTCGTGTGATACAGAATTTTTCTACCCTTTATGAACACGTTATGAACCTTTAATTCACTTTTGTCAAAAGTGAAAGCAAAACTAATGTACATACTATATGATATAAAATTTAAGGACATAGAACAAAATTTTTTAAATTTTAAAATAGAAACAAAAATTTCCCATACAATCTCAAAAAATTCTTAATTTTAAATATTTCAATACCCTTTTAAAGATAAATGCATTTTTAATTTAATGCAATTTCTTAAACATGCGTTTACTATCCTTACAAATAATTTTTAATTAAATAATGAAAATAAATTATGAAAAAAAATGGTTAGTTAATTAAGATTTTTCATAGAAAAGAAAAGAAAAAATTTCATTACCTAATGTTTGAAAAAAAAAATAATTTTCCTTTAAGCCGTAAGAAAAAAATCTTTAATATAATTAAAAAGAACCTTCAAAATACAAAAAAAAATATACACACACATTTTATTTTGTTGGGAAAATGTTTCTTCACATGAAAATCTCTGAGAAAGGTATAAAAATTAAATTAATTTTATTTCTCTCCTACTTTTCTACTTTATTTAACTTGAAGTGTTGATGAACCTGACATAGAAATATAAAAGATTTTCTTGGTAGATAATTAAAAAAAAAAATAAAAATCATTTGTAAGTATGCATGTACAGTATGAAAGCAAGTTGATATTTAAGATTTTTTCTTTTATAATTCACCGAAGGATGCAAATAAGAAAAAAAAAAAAACTTTTCATTCTACATAGCACAGGGAAAAAAATCTATATATTTACTTTTCTTTTTCTACTAAATTATGTTTTTTTTTTGTTATTATTTTTCAATTTTGTCTATTCTATTCAAATATCACAACGCTCAGGATATTGAAAATAAATAGAGAATAATGTGAAAAGGAAAAAATATCATAGTTATGTCAACTGATAATGATAAAATATGTTGGTTATAATTTAAAAAAAATTTTCCGGAATTCTAATTTGATTTTGTTTGTGAAAAAACGTGATTGTCTCTATATCATAGTGATGAAAAATTAATTTTGATTTATATTCGACAAATTATTCATTTTA